GGTTTCCCCTCCTTAATCAGGATGCCCCTGAGGCCTGAACAGGTGTTGAGAGAAACAAAAGAACCCGGGACTCCTTCTATGTAGCCTTCATAGTGACAGTCATGTGAGATGAAAGGCATTTCTTGCCCCAGGACGCCACCGTGGTAGCTGAAGACTGGAAAGTCCTTCACAAAACAGTCTCTCTTCGCCTTCAGGTGAATCATCCATTTCTGGCCCTGCATTAAGAGCATATAGGATGCCTTTTCCACTGGGTCTTCCCTTCCCTTGACTGTCAGGCTCTTGGGGATGACTGTTTCATAAGAAGAGTAATATACAGATCCCAGGTCACAGTACAAGGTTGGCAGGAAAATCAACGCCAACACTAGCATGATCCCCAACCTGACACACGGAGGTCCCGGCACCACTAGTGCCCACCTCGAGCCCTTCATTTGGGGAGCCCGAGTCGGAAGTGCTCTGCCAGCCTCATGTGTAACCACTTGGTATTTCTGTAGACAAGACAAGGAGGAGGCAGAGTGTCTCACAGAGGCTGCCACTGGCATGGCCATTGTGAATCGGTTGATGGTGTGCGGCCTGTGTCCATTAGCAGCAGCCCTCCCTGACACGCCGACCCTCACATGGGAGTCTGGCATTATGGAGTCAAGGCATTAGCTCCAGATCTATGCTGGCTGTAGGAAGGGTGGCTGGCTGCTGCCTACTTCTGAGAGACACAGCCTCTGGCTGTGTCCTTTCCAGTCTCTCTGATCTCTCTGTAATCCTTCAGATAGTGTCCTTTCTCTGTGACTTCCTTCCACAGCATCAGCTTCGGTGCTCCGTGGCTACGGTCCTTTTGACACCGTGGAGTGATGTAATCACGAAGGGCTGTGAACTCTAAAACGCAAGACCATCCCTTGAGAGTGGAAACAAAACCTGCATGCCTCCTTCAACTGTGCCACACGGAACGCCCCGCCCCGCCCCCACCCCTCCTGTTGTCCGTTGCTTGACTAACTCCAAGTGTTCCAGACCAGGGGGCTTAGACATCTTTGGTGGGCACCCTCTGTTGCTCACTTCCCCTCTTCTAAACCTCTTGCTCTGTAACACATGGACATGATAACTCAGAGTGTCCTTTATCCCTCAGTGAGGCATTATAGTGACGTGCACATCTCCCAGGCCAGTCTGTTCGCTAAGGCAAATGGGGTGGTGGGCCTGTGCCGCAAGATAGACCCAAGTGGGCTGGCGACCCATGGGGCACGGGTCAATACGCCTATGTTTTAACATCTTCAAAGCTCGGTTCCTCAAGTTCTGTTTATGACACTGTCCAAAAGTGTGTATGGGAGAGGCCAACAGAGCAGCCTCCTCTTACGTGCGAGTGTGAGTATCATGGGCATGTCAGTGGGTGAGTCCAGGCCCACACCCTTCTCGGGATGGCCCTGACATATGGCATGATGCTAAGGTTATGCCCGCTGTGAACTAGGTATCCTAAAAGTCTCCCCTGTGTTAGAATGTGGCCTCTACATGTCCAGTGACCACTTCAGTTTGTTCACCTTTATACCCTCAGGTCTAGAAGAGTGCTTGTCCAAGAGTAGATGAACAAGAATTATTTACTGAGTGAATAAATGACTCCCAGGTATGGGTGCT